TGCTTTTTCCAGACCTTCTGGTTTTTGGTTTGTTTTACTACAGATATCGAAACAGTGTGAAAATTAGAATTAAAGTCACCCGTGAAATTAGTCATAATTAAAGTCATAAATGAAAAGTAAGGTCGAAATTAAAGTCACCAAGGAAAAACAACGCTACAATTAAAGCCTCCAAAGAAAAGTAACGCCAAGATTAAAGACGCCATCGAAAATTAAAGCCACGGATAAAAATTAAAGCCACCAAGCGTACCCAAATAGCTTTTCTTAGCAGAAAATAAAGACAAAAAAACCCCTTCATGAACTTCTTTATTAATGGAGACTGTTGACTTGTATACCCAGCAGTTTGCAAGGGATTTTTAAAGAATATAGAGCCAAAGTTTATGGATTGTAACATCGTAATAGTTGTGACATCAAGACAACACAGTCACAGGGATCAGTGACAAATCGACTGTTCGCCCACATGGATGTTAATTGACTGCGTTGATGTGTACAGAGAGAGAGAGAGAGAGAGAGAGAGAGAGAGAGAGAGAGAGAGAGAGAGAGAGAGAGAGAGAGAGAGAACGGCATTCCTCCCGTACTTCTGTATATATGTACTTTCTTCCTCCCGAGCCCCTGTATACCTCCTGTCTCTCTATCCATCCATATGCCTGTTTCTCCATTAACCCATACCCCTGTCCCTCATTCTATACATACCCCTGTCTCTTTATCCATCCATACCCTTGTCACTCTACCCATCCATAACCTTATCTCTCTATCCATCCATACCCCTTGGCCAATCACTCTATAGATCCACACCCCTGTCTCTCTATCCTTCCATAACCCTATCTCTCTATCTATATGTACCCCTGTCTCTCTATCCATCCATTATCATACCCATGTCTCTTTATTCACCCGTATCCCTGTCACTCTATCCATCCATACTCCTATCTCTCTATCCATCCATAGCCCTAGTTCTCTATCTATACGTACCACAGTCTCTCTATCCATCCATACCCCTGTCACTCTATCCATCCGTACCCCTAGGCCTATCTCTTTATTAATCCACACCCCTATCTCTCTATCTATCCAGACCCCTGTTTCTCCATTAATCCACACCCCTGTCTCTCTATCCTTCCATACCCGTATCTCTCTATCTATATGTACCCCAGTCACTCTATCCAGCCATACCCTTTTCTCTCTATCCATCCATACCCCTATCTCTCTATCCATCCATACCCCCTGTCTCTCTATCCATCCTTACCCATGTCTCTCTATCCATCCGTATCACTGTCTCTCTATCTCGTCACCCCCCCCCCTACCCTCTACCATTACACTTAAACAAAGATCAAACTTGGTCTCTCAAAAGGACTGGTTTCTCCTCGATGGTCATCCAGCGAGAGAGGCAGAAAGAGAGTAGTTGAAGGGGTGAGAAAGGGTAGGGGTTGGAGGGGTGAGAGAAGGGGTGGGAGGAGGGAGGAAGGGGGACGGTTTGCGGTGAGAGCGGAGGTAGGGGGAGAGAGGGATGGAGGGTTGTATGGTCCATGTCCAGGTAAGCGAACCGACACAGACGACAGACGCACCAGTCACAGGTCAGCGCCCTCGATGCGACGTTAGCCTTGTTGCAGAGTGAGCCTTACGTGGGATGATGTACCAGACCCCCACCCCACTCCTCACCCCCTCACATATACATACAAATACGCACATACACATGCACAAACATGCACATACACACATACACACCCACATGCATACACACACACTTACACACACATACGCACACACACACACACACACACACACTTACACACACACGCATACCACACACTTACACACACTTCCACACTTATGCATACACACACACTTACACACATTTACACTTACACACACATACACACACATATACACACACGCGCGCACACACACACTCACACACACATACACACACGTACACACACACACACACACACACACACACACACACACACACACACACATAATCCAGAGCATGGCGTTGATTTAAGTAGGCCGTGGTATTTCGAAACTATTATTAAATTGTAACACAACTGAATTCGAATGATGGAATGCTTGCGTTATACGAGTAAAGTAAAAGCAACTTTTCGGGAGTGCTGGTAGCGTAAAATTAGCAAAAGTAGAGGAAAGGTCAACCCTTCTATATGGCTGTGAATGCTAGACAATCACTAAAGACAGTGAAAATAAAATAGAAGCAACAGAAATGTGGTTTCTTAGGAGACTGCTAAGAGTATCGTGGAAGGAAAAAAAGTAAGCAAGGTAGTGTTAAATGAAGCTCACATGGGACGCTCAATGTTAAAAACAATCAGGAAACGACAAATGCAGTTTTTGGGACACCTGAATAGACACAAAGGTCTTGAACATCTAGCTCTCACTGGCAAAATTGACGGCAAACGAGGCAAGGGTATGCCCAGAACAACTTACTTAGGGAACCTAAACAAATGGGTAACTGGGAAAGATCAGGGAAACGTAGCTTTTTTTA